TACTTAAGGAAAATTGACGTCTCAAGTCATTTACCTTTAATGTCTCTTTGCCACATTACAATCAGGTACATTTATTTTTGACTCTGATGTTTTTTTTATTATCATATAGCAGGTAATAACACAAAAGTGCACTGTATAAGTGAAACATCTCACCTTTATATATAGACAGGAAATGCTTTTTCACAGGTCACAGAACATGAATTCATTTTCTTTTATTATTCTCGCAGTTTTTGCTCAGACCTCGGCTGCAGCAATTTACAGTATACCATCCAGGCATAACATTAAAACTGGTGATGTGTGCAGCTTCCCTCACACACAGCTGTTTATAAAAGCTCACGGAATACAACTGTGGTGCTGAAGGAACACCGAGAAAGCTTTGAATCAATTGGTCAAGTGGTCACTTGTCGGGATAGAATAGAATAGAATAAAATAGAATTATAAAGTGTTTTTGTTATTGGAAAAACATACAGTAGTTGTTCAGTGAAATGAAAAAAAAAGCCAAAATAACTGAAAATTGGAATAATACCGTATTTTGCGGACTATGAGTCGCACTAGCCAGCTAGAGTGCCCTCTAGTGGCTGTCAGTGCGAAAATAACGAACATGTAAATTTTCAGTGGTACAGTAGTAGCAGATACTGGTACACAAGCCTAGAGTGCCCCCTAGCGGCTGTCAGTGCAGAACATGAACATGTGAAATTATATATTTTAATACATAAGTTGCACCTGAGTATAAGTCGCAGACCCAGCCGAAGGATGAAACAAAAAGTGCGACTTATAGTCCGGAAAATACAGTACTAAGATTCCTGTTTCAACAGAACTTAAAACAAGTATTTATGCACATGTGCAAATTTATAATTAGGAGCACTTTGATGAGGGCGAGTTAACGAGTGCAGTGGTGCAGCGGCAGAACCAAGTAGCAGTAAACCTGCAAATGTAAGCCAGAGCTATAAAAAGGTAAACAGTGCCAAACAGATGAACAGAGCACAGCAGAGCAGGGACGTCACTGAGTGGAGGAAGAGCTGGAACCACAACAACAACAAACTGTCATGAAGCAGTGCATCGTGGTAAAACGGCAGAGCGCGTTGTCAAACATCTGTGCTCCACAGCCTGGACGGCCAAGCGAAAGCAATAACCATGTCAAAATTTTGGACGTGGTGTGAAGTGAACTCTGCCTCGACTGCAGTCTGATCGTGACTGTTGGTTGATCTAGTCTCAGGTTTTAACCAGTGCAAAAAACCAATGTCAGGAAACGAAGGGAGACGCCGCCTTCAAAGGCACTGGATCAAAGACAACTGCTAACCAGCTAACAGGTCGAACGTCATTAAACACAAAGTTCTTCTAGGTTTTATATCAATAATGTCATGTCATTGTTTGTCTTTGTTTCAGATAGACGTCACCCTGGTGCTCAGGTAACAGACTGTTTTATATACGTGATTCCCCCAGTCA